GAAGGGGTGGTTAAGGGAAGAGGGGGGGGGGAGCATTCAAATTAGCTAACACCGTGGAAACTTGCCGGGCTATTCGTGACTCTGAATTATAATCCATCTCGTTATGCTTCTTGCTCTCTGATTGCTCTAATTCTCGACCTACGAGAAACGGGAGACAGAGGGGCATGGGGCGGGGGTAGGGAGATAAAGAGAGAGCCTTGCTGCGCCCTTGGGGATGGGTGGGGTTGAGCGAGCTGGAAGGGGTGTGCCCGCAGTATTCAACGTAATACGTCATCTGTCTCCCTCTCTCTCTCTCTCTCTTCACTCTCTCGCGCGCGCTTCCCCCTATCTGCCTCGGCTTTTATAGCACTTAATGCACACATTTGTTTGTGGGTGCTCCTCTGCTGCAGCGAGCACCATCGTGCATAGGGACCAATTTTCTCATCATTGTTTTCACGTCCTCCAGCGCCCCTCCCCTCCCTCCTCCACCTCCCTTTCTCCACCAGTGCTCTGCATAAAACAAGCGAGGGGATTGCCGGTTGCCTACCCGCCTGGCTCTACTTGTAACAACGGTGTGGCGTGGCGTAGTGAGGCGTGGAGGGGGGGGGGCGAACAAATAAATAAAGCACCATTTTAACGAGCGGGTGGCCCCTGCAGGGGCAGTGGACCGAGCAGGCTAATGGAGCTGCCTACCTCTTTTGTCGCCGGCCCGTTTGCGTGGCGCGGCGTGGGCGCGGACACGACCCATGGCCCCTCTCGTCCTGCCCTCGCGTGCTGCTCGCCATGATCGCGGGATGAAAAATTCAGCGAGCGCGGTGATCCTTGGTGACCGCGCGACCCGGCGATTTGTACCTGAAACATTGATGGGGAATTATGATGGGGAAAGGGTGGATATGGATACCGACCGTGGCAGGGCGTGACGTGGCGAGCGCTATTACCCTCTCTCTCTCTCTCTCTCTCTCTGCGCGCGCGAACGCCTCGGAGTGAAACATGACCTTTGTGTGGATCACTCCGTCGACCGTGCGCGCCGATTATAATGTGAGTGGCAGCATTCTCTCGCTCGCTCGCTCTCTCTCTCTCTCTCTCTCTCTCTCTCTCTCTCTGCCGCCATCATCATCATGCCCCGGGTAATTAACTCTCCATTAATATGCGGAGAGGACATCACGATGCGGGCAACGCCTCTGTGACAATAACGACTCGAGTTCCTCCCCCCCTCCCTTTCCACCACCCACCACCACGCCACGCGACTATCTGGCCAATCAAAATCAATCTCGCATCATGTCGCGGTTGTCATATCGCTCGCTAGAGCGCTCTGCATGACCGCGCGGCAGGGCGGGCTGTGATGATCAAAGCTGAAAAAAGTCCCTTTCATCTGGGGCAGCATTCGATCTCGCGACCTACGTGCCCGGAGGTGATTCTGATCCCCCCAGGCCAGGTAAAATCGCCGCGTCTCCTCTATTCTTCTCTCTCTTTCCCTCTCCCTCTCTCTCAACTCGTTCATTAGCGCGCCCGCCGTGGGAGCGAGCGAGACAGCTGCAAAGGGGTTGCCCCTCGGGCCGTCCGGTCCGGGCGATATGTGGCAATAAATAATGGGGAGGGAGATAATCTTTTGTTGTGATGTGCGGTGTGTTTACACGCGGCTACTGTGTGTGTGTGTGTGCGTGCGCGTGAGGGGATGGTATTGCTCTATCCCCCGCCACCCCCACCCCCCGCGCAGCCTGCCATGTTCGCATACATACCGGCCACGCCTCCCCCGTGTGAGTGGGGGGCATTGTGTAATTACAAACATGGCGCAAACGAGTGTCCAGCCATAACGAACCGAGCCGACAACTTTGCAGTGGGCTTTACTTTTTATTTTCTGGAAATAAAAACATTCATGATGAAAAATAAATTAACACGTTAGTTTAAAGTTTCAATGTACGTTCTCTTATTCACTATGTTATTATTTTTCTGATTCGTCGTCTTCTTCTACCAAAACTACTACTCTTTCTTTTATTTTCTTTGATAACCATAGTCGATTTCAATTCATGTGAGCGTGGGCCCTTTGCTTCTACCTGCGGCCACTCTTCTTCAACGTCTCGGAACACAAATAAAAGTACCACATGTCACCGCATTGCGTAGCTTGCCGACAAGGTCCTCTCTTCGGGTCGCGTCACCACTACCACTCGGACGCACGCGAGCACCTCGGACAACCCGCGCCTGCCCGACTCCCGCGCGATAGAGATTCCCAGATCGTTTTGGGGGGACGAAGGGTGACGTCGCAGCGGGTGGACGACCCTTTATCTGTTTGAATGTGAACCCACGCGCGGTTCAAAGACGAAAGGCAGAGGGACGTCTGGCGGCGGCCCCCCGCGCGACGTAAAGCTCTGCTGTCGCCCCCGCGATAGAGTCGGCCCCGCCCCGCAGCGCGTGCCGCCGCCGCGCCCCCCTCCCCCTCTCCCCCCGCTCCTCTCCCCCAGAGCCCCGCGAGCCATGCCCGGTCACGATCGGGCGGCGGGTTCGTAATGGACACCCAAACGGGCGACGTAGGCAAATTATTATCATTGTTTGTTTGCCTTCAACCGTTAAAGCGGAAGCGCGCGTCGTTTCCTTCCCGTTTGTTTGTTTGTTTGTTGGGCGATATTGGGGGTGATTTGCGCGGCTCACACGCGTCCTGGAATGAATGAGTCGAGTGTGTTTGTGTGTGTTTGTGTGTGTGTGTGTGTGTGTGGATACCGTGGGTGGTCGCAGAGAGTACGTGTTAAGAAATGACAAGGACTGCCCCGCTCTGAGGCATGCCGACGGCCGCCCTCCAGACTTTACCCGCGGGGCCGAGGAATTCCTCTTTCTCTTTCTCTCTCTCTCTCTCTCTACCATCTCCAGGCCTCTCATTCACTCCGTCTCTCTTTCTCTCTGACGCAAAAACGCATTCCTGAAATGCACTTCTATACAAGGCGATCCCATGTCGAGGGAGAGAGAATCTGCTGCTGCAGGAGCCAGAGGTTATTGGGCGGCTTATCGCGTCCACGCCGCCCCCGCACCACCCCGCCCTTGGGCCGAGGGGAGGCTGCGCTATCAATGAACACGACCGCAACAAGTACATGTTGTGCCGCGCACCCCTCCGCGGAGGGTGGCGCCGAGTGTCGCCAAGTGTTATTGAATACGAGCTAAGCGGGGCGTTTACGCCTCGGTTTAGGCGGCACCGGGGCGTGGCGGAGCGTGGCGGAGCGTGGCAGAGCGTGGTTGACCGTGGGGGTGGCGGGGCGTAGCGGTGCGGAGCGTGGCATGCGGCGAGCTGACCTGCAGCTGGCCGAGCTACATGCAGCCTGTAAGGCGCGCATATGCAGCTCTGCCTATCATGACCGGCCCATTAGTACGACAGCCCCCTCCCCTCTCTCTCTCTGACCCCCAGGGGGGCTGGGGCGGGGCCAGTGAGAGCGACTGCGACGCCCAATAATAATAATAACGCAATCGCAGCCCGGCGGCCATTATTCGTGATTTGTGCAGCATTGGAGCTCGCGCTACGCTGCGCTGCTCGGCGCTGCTGCTGCCGGCTGAATGGGGCTATGATTATGTTATGGTTTGTTTTGTGGCCCCGCGCCTCGGCCATTGGACAATGTGTTCTGATTGACTGGTGTGTGCTTACCCGCCGCCGGGCCGGGCGCGGCCGTGCGGAGCAGGGCGGGGGGTGTTCTAGCCAGGGGGTGGTGGGGGGTTTATGGCTTCTAACAAGCGCGCGGTGGCGGCCTGGCGCGGCCCGGCGGCGCGGCGGCTGGGCGGGGCGGCGTGGAAGTCGTTTGACGGTCCCAGATATACAAATGAGGCGGGCGGGGCGCGGGAGCTGCGGGGGGCCGGGCCGGCTGCGCTAAGTGTGCGAGCGGCCGCCACGCCACGCCGCGCCACGCCACGCCGCGACAAACATTAGGCCAAGAAGGTTATGCGGGCGCTGCCTACCGCCCGCCGGCTCCGCCCGCCGCCGCCGCCGCGCATGAGTCGCTCATGGGAATCGAACCTGCTGCCGGGGGAGTCATTTTCGGCCCGAACACCATGCACGGGTGGGGCATTACCAGGGGGCTGTAAAATTTTATAGGCTTCGTGTGTGTGTGTGTGTGTGTTTGTGTGTACGTGTGTGTGCTGAAAGGGTCGAGGAGCAGCACACTCGACATTAGCAGTGTACTATTGCATTTTGAAAAAAAGGACCAGCATTTGTGAAAAGTTTTTGAACCAGGATTGCTAATTGTTGTTCGTTTGTTCTGTGTGCAGGTCCCCGGTCGCGGAGGATGAAGCGCAAGGAGAAGCCCACCCCGGAGGAGAAGAGGCCGCGGACGGCGTTCAGCGGCGAGCAGTTGGCGAGACTGCGGCACGAGTTCGCAGAGAACCGCTACCTGACCGAGCGGCGGCGCACCGAGCTGGCGCGCGAGCTGGGCCTCAACGAGGCGCAGATCAAGATCTGGTTCCAGAACAAGCGGGCCAAGATCAAGAAGGCGACGGGCTCGAAGAACCCGCTGGCGCTGCAGCTCATGGCGCAGGGCCTGTACAACCACACCACCGTCCCCATCGACGAGGAAGAGGAGGAGGCGCAGAACGCCATGATCCTGGCGGCCCAGCAGCGGCAACAGCAGCAGCAGCAGGCCATGTAGTGCGTCGAGGAGGATAAGGACGATCTGTGAGCTCGCCTGAGAAGTGACCTCCCACATGAGTGTGACGCCTGGTGCCACAAGAGGTTCGACTGGCCAAGCAACCTCTTCTTTGTTTTTGTTGTTGCTATGAGGTTGTGAGGATATATTTGCCGCCATTCGTGGGACCTTGTCATCAACCAGTTGCATGCTCATGTATAGAAACAAGGCTGATCTTTTTCTTTCTAATTTAAGTGTCCATTGCGGTTAATTATAGAATGTGTTGTAGTTTGTTAAATTTTAATGGTATGAAGTACTTTTGTGTAGCGTCTGTGTGATCAATGAGCGTACGCGCTGTGTTTTCTATGCAACAGGATGGAGTGTTGGAGTAGTGTCCTGTGTTTTACCAAAGATAAATGTTATTTAGTATTTATATGAAAATTATCTGACACGTTGTGGCTTTAATACTGTAAGATCGTTTATTGACGTGCCAAACTTAATTTATTACTGACTGCTGAGCGTACATTTCGTAATTGTGTGATATCTTTGATTCTACATAAATATAAATATATATAAATATTACTGAGGAAGGAAATATAATTAACTTTATTCGAGTTATCTGTGTATACATAAGAATAGATGAACTGCCTATCTATTAGGAGAAAACCTTGTAAAATGCTACAATATTTAGAAAAGCAAAACCAAATGTACAGTGTACCAGAAAAGTGACAAACTTGAAAAGGGTTTACGATAAAAAGAGGGAATAATTGTGTGTAAATTTTCCAAACCTTTTTTATATTTGTTGGGAAGACATCGGATTGTACAAAGTCCAGTGACATCAATAATAATAAAACCTTCATAATTACATGTTACATTACTCTGTGCTTTGTTCAGTTCTAAAACCGCTCACTCTTGTAACCCACACAACTTGGTCAGGCAAAACGGCAACGGCTGAAAAAGAAATCCCGTGGATGCCAAACAATCACCGATCTCTTTGTGAATGCCTCAAGTACCACGCGTTCGAATGGCTTTAATCGTTACGAGGCGGGTGCGCCGCGGCAGCCGTCCTCAAAGCCAACATAACGGTGCAAAACAGTAACGCACTCACTCGGCACACCGGCTCAAAGGCTGTGGATCGAATGTCACATCATAACGCGGCTCACTTGGGGCTCGTTAACCGCCCACTAAACACCCCGCCCCGCGCCGCTACGCCTCGCCACGCCACGCCTCGTCACGGCCCCACGGGAGTAGTTAGGCCTGCCGCCAGTTCGACCAGTTGTTCTGCAAAAAAATT